TGCGATGCTTTACAGGCTCCTGCAACCAAAAATAAATAAATGCACATTTTTTTGCAGGTAAAAAAATGAGCATTTATTATTCTTTGCTGCAAGAGCCTGGAAGTAGATCTCTGGTGCCATGCAGGTCTCCTGCAGATCTGTCAGTGTATCTGCTTGCCTGTATGGAATGTAGGAGCAAGCAGATATACTGACAGGAAGATTCAATGTACTCTACAGCGCTGTGGTAGTTCATTGAGAACTACAATCCAACAACCGCTAAGGAGATTTCCATTCATTTGCTGTGAATGAGTGATGCGGCTGGGCAGGTGGAGCCTTCAAACCCCGACTGTACTACCCCCCAGAGTTCCCCCATAAAAAGGACACCCCCAAAAGAAGATGGTATACAAAGGAGATGACCTATCCACCCCAATCCAAGGCAACAATACCCGCACCACCCCCTCAGCACAATTCATTTGATGTGAAGATGAATGAAACAGAGTGGTTACAAAAGAAGCAATGTCACTTTATATCTTTCTATTTCCCAACTTAACAGTGTTTATAAACTCAGTTTAATAGCCTGTTTATTTCTTGTACAGCTGCTCTAATTACGCAGCATCTACCATTTTGATAGTCGGAAACTTCCAACAAGTGCAAAGGTGAGAGTGGTAGTGGGGCAGAAGGACGGACATACTACAGAAGCCTAATATACCCAGCATCCACTATTGGTTAAGTTTATATAGTGCCCCCACTTTTAGAAAACCTACAGCATATGGATTGTTTGAGATTCACTCTTCTTTTTGTACCTGTGATCACTTTCACCTAGATAGAAAGTGAGGGGAAATTCAAATTTTAGAGTAGTCCCCAGTACCAATAGTAAGGGTTTTCCAATGGATACACCTGTTCTAGGGACAACACTCTAAGAGGAGAATTCCCCTTAGAGATTTCCTTTAACTTCCTGTTGTGTCTCTGGAGCAGGAAGTGAAGGGACTTTTTCCCCAAAGGTGCACAAACAAACAAAAATAAATTGGCAGGGGTTTTAATCCTTCCCTACTCTATCCAAAACAAAAACAGTTTGGCTATACATACACCTTAAATGTACTTAATGTATTAATTGTATTAAAGTATTAAGATTTAAATGTATAAATGCAAGTAGAGTAAGTTCCTGAATTGGTCCTGGTAATCTGTATAATAGAGCTGAAGAAGAAGAGGAAGAAGCAGCACAAGGGGACAATCAGTTCATGTGGTGACAACAAGCATGCTGAAAGAAGGAGAAAGCAGAGTGACAGAGAGATGAGCTCATCACTGTGCTGTTTCTCCTTTTTCTGTCCAGTGATGGGCTGGAGTGAGTCCAGGAGGACCTGGGCTCAGAGAAAGTTGGTTGAATCAAGTGTACTGTGGGAGGAATCTCTGGATTCAAGATGAATATTTCAGCAAACACTTTTTTTTTCTTATTTTATCTTTCAACGACTGTTCGTGTTTATATTATTTTTGGCTGGAGTTCTGATTTAAACTTTTCTTTCGAATGTTTACCATTTAGAGGACTGGAAGCCATTCTAGCACACAGATGAGAGGAACGTGAAACCAAGTGAAACCAATGAGGAATACAAGAAGCAGGAATCACAGGGGAGACAGTGGAATGAATCAGGACACACTTCTCCCAGCAAAAAAAAAAAGACAACATTTTGTGAGGATAAAGAGGAGCTGATGTATTATTCATGTAGCCAGGATGGGTGTCTGACAGTGTGCAGTGCTTGGGGAGCTATGGGCTCTGCTGTCTCTCTCTCTCTCTCTTTATCTCCCTTCACAGCTTGTAATTCAGACCAAATATCAGAGGAGTCTCGGAGATTAATTTGTGAAGATTTGCATGGCGGGAAGGAGGGAGGGAGTGTGTGGGAGTATACATTGCTGTGATTGTGTTTGTCATTGCCTTATGCCGTATACCATTCCATGAATGAACATGTGTCTTGGATAGGTTGTACATGATGGTATATGCAGGCAACATTATCCATTGTTGCCAATCCATCCCGTTCTATACTACAAAGTCTATGATATCCAGCTTCTGTTGCCTGGTTCAGTCAGTCCTTTACTTGCAATTAGCCAACAAGAGAACTTGTATGAACTTGTTTGACTTACCAGTCTTTAGGTAAGGTGGTTTAATTTTTGGGGCTTTTTTTCTCTTTTTTTGCATATTAATACTACGAAAAATGCGCTTCCTGTTGCTTCCTGCAATTCAGCCACGAAGTGGTAGGCCACGTAAAATGACAAAGTGGGGTCAGCACATGCACATAGGTCACCAACTATCTGCAGAGGCAGTAGCTACAGACCTCCAACCTTCGTGCGACCTTCTGAAGTGGCCCAGTCCGAGTCCTGACCTCAACCCGATTGAAATGCTGTGGCATGACCTTAAGAGAGCGATTCACACCAGACATCCCAAGAATATTGCTACACTGAAACAGTTTTGTGAAGAGCAGTGGTCCAAAATTACTCCAGATCGTTGTGCAGGTCTGATCTGCAACTACAGGAAACGTTTGGTTGAGGTTATTGCTGCCAAAGGAGGGTCAACCAGTTATTAAGTCCAAAGGTTCACATACTTTTTCCTCCCTGCACTGTGAATGTTTACATGTTATGTGCAATTAAACCATGGCAACATCTAATGTTTGTGTAGTATTATGTTCAACAGACTGTGTTCTTCTATTGTTGTGACTTAGATGACGTTCAGAGCACATTTTATGCCCAATTCATGCAAAACTGCACGGAATCCCAAGGGGTTCACATACTTTTTCTTGCAACTGTATATGTAGGCACATTCATATGATGAAAGAATAATTTGGAGGATTATAAACGCAGTGAAGAGTTGGAAAACAGGACAGTTGGAAATAAATACAGCATCACAAATGTATATGTTTTCAAAAATATATGGACATTTGGGACTTTTTTTTTATCAATATGAGTTTTTCTATTGTATTATGATGTATAGTTCACAATATCATGCCAGTGATTTAATATATTTAACATAAAAATCCTACTCCCTTAATTATACATTGTAGGACACAGTATGAAGTATTCTGGAACTAATACAATGTCCAAAAGCAGTCCAACTGAGGAGTGGGCATTAGAGCAAACAAAAGGCTAACAGATACAAAAACCAACAGGTTAACAGAGGTGGCTCAACAAAACCACAAAGTCACCTCAAGAGCCTTATGATAAGCTGAGGCCTGAACGTTCACATGGTAAAACTTAAAGTAACATTAAACCTTCATTTTTAAAAAAATTTAAATAACAAACATGTTATACTTACATGTTATACTTACATGCTCTATGCAGATCCTCCTCTTCTGCAGTCTTGCACTGGCACTCCAGGATCCTCCTATTCTGCAAATGCCCCCATAGAAAGCTGCTTTCCATGGGGCATCCATGCGGGCTCACTCCTGAGATGCCTGTCAGCTTGGTCCCGCTCCCTCATAACAGCATTTGATTGACAGCAGCTGCCAATGGCTCCCGCTGATATCAATCTGCCCAGTGAGGAATGAGACAGCGGTGAGAGTTGCTGCTCTTGTGCACATTGCTGGATCAGATCGGCCTCAGGTAGGAATAAGGAGGGATCCTGCAGTACAGAAGGTTTTTTACCTTAACTACTTGCTGACCGTTTCACGTAGGAGTATGGTGGCAGGTTGGCTCTCCTGCTCCAGATCAAGTACCTAGCATGTGTGCCCACCGCCCCAGCTGCGCTGTTATTAGACACAGCATAAGACGATCAGCAGGTCCCGGCCAATGATTGACGATGATCAGCAAAACAGAAAACAGGACAGAGCTCTGTGAATGTAAACACACAGAGCTCTGTCCTGTCAGTCAGGATGAGCCATTTTTTTCCCTGCAAAGCAGGGAAAAAAACTACTCATTCCTTACTAAAAACAGCATACTGTAACACAATAATTACTTTTAGGCACATAGATAACCCTTTGATTGCCCCTTTATGTTAACCCTTTCAGAGCCAGTGTCATTAGTACTGTCAGTTTTATATTATTAGCACCGATCACTGTATTAGTGTCTCAGGTTCCCACAAAGTGTCAGTTAGTTTAAAATTGACTGCTGCTATAATATCACAGTCCTGCTGATCACCGCCATTACTAATAAAAAAATAAGTATATATAAAATTTCTAGTATATGTACTATAGTTTGTAGACGATATAACCCACATGGAAGAAAAATATATTTGATATATATCTTAAAAATATTCTTCCCAAATATATTGACATATATTTGAAATGCTACAATTTGGGCCATATTCAATATAGTGCGTTTTTTTACAACATATATGAAAAATATTTTTAAAAACACATTTCAAATATACTATATGTCTTACAAATACAAATCTACATTTTTGGAATGCATTTACAAATATATGTAAAATTATATGTTAAAATGACTTTTGTATATGTAAAAAAAAAATCTGAAGAATATATTTTAAAAAATATTCTGTGCGTCTTATGGAGCGAATATTGCCCAGGCCTCCCCTCGTGTTAGAATACTGGGCCAGACAGCAGGGAGGGGGAGGGGCCAGATCCCACAGCTCCACTGATCCTGCCCCATGCAACCTGTATGCTCGAGAGGGAGCTGCTGTAGTAGAAGTTGTGATGTGAGTGGGAGCCCCGCCCCCGGATCTAAGAGAGGATGCTGAGCACGGCTGGCCAGGTATGTCCTTCCCCCTATAGACTGCCTGTGAACTGTTACACCAAACTCTGAGCTGTTGTTCACGAACTACATCTGTGCATTGCTGAAAGAAGTCTGTTCATCTCCTGTAATATGTCCGCAGTCTCTGGTCATCTCCTGTACTGTGTCCGCAGTCTCTGGTCATCTCCTGTACTGTGTCCGCAGTCTCTGGTCATCTCCTGTACTGTGTCTGCAGTCTCTGGTCATCTCCTGTACTGTGTCCGCAGTCTCTGGCCATCTCGTGTAATATGTCCGCAGTCTCTGGTCATCTCCTGTACTGTGTCCGCAGTCTCTGGTCATCTCCTGTACTGTGTCCGCAGTCTCTGGTCATCTCCTGTACTGTGTCCGCAGTCTCTGGTCATCTCCTGTACTATGTCTGTAGTCTCTGGTCATCTCCTGTACTGTGTCCGCAGTCTCTGGTCATCTCCTGTACTGTGTCCGCAGTCTCTGGTCATCTCCTGTACTGTGTCCGCAGTCTCTGGTCATCTCCTGCACTATGTCTGTAGTCTCTGGTCATCCCCTGTACTGTGTCCGCAGTCTCTGGTCATCTCCTGTACTGTGTCCGCAGTCTCTGGTCATCTCCTGTACTGTGTCCACAGTCTCTGGTCATCTCCTGTACTGTGTCCGTAGTCTCCGGTCATCTCCTGCACTGTCTGTAGTCTCTGGTCATCTCCTGTACTGTGTCCGCAGTCTCTGGTCATCTCCTGTACTATGTCCGCAGTCTCTGGCCATCTCCTGTAGTATGTCCGCAGTCTCTGGTCATCTCCTGTACTGTGTCTGTAGTCTCAGGTCATCTCCTGTACTGTATCCGCAGTCTCTGGCCATCTCCTGTAATATGTCTGCAGTCTCTGGTCATCTCCTGTACTGTGTCCGCAGTCTCTGGTCATCTCCTGTACTGTGTCCGCAGTCTCTGGTTATCTCCTGTACTGTGTCCGCAGTCTCTGGTTATCTCCTGTACTGTGTCCGCAGTCTCTGGCCATCTCCTGTACTGTGTCCGCAGTCTCTGGACATCTCCTGTAGTATGTCTGCAGACTCTGATCATCTCCTGTACTATGTCTGTAGTCCCTGGTCATCTCCTGTACTATGTCTGTAGTCCCTGATCATCTCCTGTACTATGTCTGTAGTCTCTGGTCATCTCCTGTAGTATGTCTGCAGTCTCTGGTCATCTCCTGTACTATGTCTGTAGTCTCTGGTCATCTCCTGTAGTATGTCTGTAGTCTCTGGTCATCTCCTGTAGTATGTCCGCAGTCTCTGGTCATTTCCTGTACACAAAATACAGCATATATATACAGTCAGGTCCATAAATATTGGGACATCGACACAATTCTAACATTTTTGACTCTATACACCACCACAATGGATTTGAAATGAAACAAACAAGATGTGCTTTAACTGCAGACTGTCAGCTTTAATTTGAATGTATTTACATCCAAATCAGGTGAACGTTGTAGGAATTACAACAGTTTGCATATGTGCCTCCCACTTGTTAAGGGACCAAAAGTAATGGGACAATTGGCCTCTCAGCTGTTTCATGGCCAGGTGTGTGTTATTCCCACATTATCCCAATTACAATGAGCAGATAAAAGGTCCAGAGTTCATTTCAAGTGTGCTATTTGCATTTGGAATCTGTTACTGTCAACTCTCAAGATGAGATCCAAAGAGCTGTCACTATCAGTGAAGCAAGCCATCACTAGGCTGAAAAAACAAAACAAACCCATCAGAGAGATAGCAAAAACATTAGGCGTGGCCAAAACAACTGTTTGGAACATTCTTAAAAAGAAGGAACGCACCGGTGAGCTCAGCAACACCAAAAGATCCGGAAGACCATGGAAAACAACTGTGGTAGATGACCAAAGAATTCTTTCCCTGGTGAAGAAAACACCCTTCACAACAGTTGGCCAGATCAAGAACACTCTCCAGGAGGTAGGTGTACATGTGTCAAAGTCAACAATCAAGAAAAGACTTCACCAGAGTGAATACAGAGGGTTCACCACAAGATATAAACCATTGGTGAGCCTCAAAAACAGGAAGGCCAGATTAGAGTTTGCCAAATGATATCTAAAAAAGCCTTCACAGTTCTGGAACAACATCCTATGGACAGATGAGACCAAGATCAACTTGTACCAGAGTGATGGGAAGAGAAGAGTATGGAGAAGGAAAGGAACTACTCATGATCCTAAGCTACCACCTCATCAGGGAAGCATGGTGGTGGTAGTGTCATGGCTTGGGCATGTATGGCTGCCAATGGAACTGGTTCTCTTGTATTTATTGATGATGTGACTGCTGACAAAAGCAGCAGGATGAATTCTGAAGTGTTTCGGGCAATATTATCTGCTCATATTCAGCCAAATGCTTCAGAACTCATTGGACGCCGCTTCACAGTGCAGATGGCCAATGACCCAAAGCATACTGCAAAAGCAACCAAAGCGTTTTTTAAGGGAAAGAAGTGGAATGTTATGCAATGGCCAAGTCAATCACCTGACCTGAATCCGATTGAGCATGCATTTCACTTGCTGAAGACAAAACTGAAGGGAAAATGCCCCAAGAACAAGCAGGAACTGAAGACAGTTGCAGTAGAGGCTTGGCAGAGCATCACCAGGGATGAAACCCAGCATCTGGTGATGTCTATGCGTTCCAGACTTCAGGCTGTAATTGACTGCAAAGGATTTGCAACCAAGTATTAAAAAGTGAAAGTTTGATTTATGATTATTATTCTGTCCCATTACTTTTGCTCCCTTAACAAGTGGGAGGCACATATGCAAACTGTTGTAATTCCTACATTTTTCACCTGATTTGGATGTAAATACCCTCACATTAAAGCTGACAGTCTGCAGTTAAAGCACATCTTGTTCGTTTCATTTCAAATCCATTGTGGTGCTGTATAGAGTCAAAAATGTTAGAATTGTGTCGATGTCCCAATATTTATGGACCTGACTGTATAAAGCGCTGTATAAATTTGTGGAACTATAAAGGTACCTGTGATAAGTAAATAAAAAAATGAATAAATCACCTACTTGCTTCCAGCATTGCAGCCAGATGGGAACTATGTACCATATCTGGTGGCAGTGCCTAGTAGTGACAAGATTTTGGATCCGAATGTTTAACTCTATCTACTCAGTGACAGGAGTGAATATTTGCAGATTCCCGGAGACAGCCCATTTTCACAAATTTCCTGATGATGCTCCCTGAAAATCACATAAATCGATAAACTATATGTTGTTGGCAGCAAGAATTACCATTGCTAAATATTGGAAGCAGTCGGCAATTCCATTGACTATGTCAAGAATAAACATAACTTTTACATGGTTAATGACAGACTCACCTGTCAATTTGTCTATTGGCAGAGACTAAGTACTGCCTTTAATGTTTCCTAACAAACCCATGCTCCTTTTTTTATCAAGACTACTTACTGTGATATGACTACTGTTCAAATGTTATCTTTGTTTTTATTTTTTTAAAACATTTCAATAACAAAAATATTGTAATATACATTTCTTTTCCTCCACACATAAAGAGTGCACTCTTGTTCTTTTTAATGACATTACAATGAATAACTGTACATCAAGTTCACGTGGAACAATTACATATTTATATATGGTGATCATATCCCCCTTAATCACCTCTTTTCAAGAGAGAATAAATTCAGTTCAGCTAATCTTTCTTCATACACAAGGTCCTCCATGCCTCTTATCATTATTATAATGGTCTGTCCTTACAGCTTTGTTTGCCAGTGCCCAATCTCCTGTATCTAGCAGTATAGCCCGTTGGGTCTACAATACTACATTAACTGTCCTGTAATATATAATTAGGTTTTTGGGTTTATATATGATTTAAGACAACTGTATAAATGCACACCACTGATGTTCATATTAGTTATATAACATATTTGCATCTTGCAACTTTTTTTTTTGCAAAAACAGACCTTTTTAGCCATGTAATAAAGTGGAATGTCATTTGTTGTTTAAAAATATTAATTTTGAGCTTCTTAAACCTGTAAATAAAACTAATTAGAACTAAATAACAACTCTCTGGTATTTTAAATGGCAAAGCTGTTTAGATCTCTAAATACTGTATATCAATACCATGCTAATAATGTTGTCCAAGCATCTGATGATTAGAGGGTTGCAGATATGAGAGTTAGAAGAGATCCTCAACTAGACACCACAAATAATTTGTTTTCCTATGCTGCTTTACAACTCCAACAAGCCAAATTGGACCCAGACAGTACTGCATATTTTTACTCAAAAGAGACTTTAAAGTTGAACTATAGTCTGCTTATAAATCATTAAATGTGGGTGTACCTCTGTCCTGTATATGCAGGATATAATTCTCATTTTGTCTAGGGAGGATAGACTAGAGAGTAATACTTATTCTAATGTGGTCTCATGACAGACACTGTTCTGGTCTTCTCTCCTTTTCCAGAAGAAGGATGGCCCTTTGAAATCATCTGAAAAAAATACAAAACAAGTGGTGGTCTTGCATTATACATAATGATATCAATGAGAGGGCAGGTGATGCAACCAGAGAATCAAATTTGTTTGAAGAGACGGTCATTACTGCCAGAAGTGGTAGAGGTGGATGTGTATGCATGTATGTGAAAAGTGATCTAAGGTGTTATTGTGCAGAACTATTATGGTTGGAACACCAAATGAGTGCAACAAATAGTAAATAGCCTGTGGAAGTATGATATAGGTTCCCTAACCTAAAGGACGAGGAAGACTTTCCGCTCCTTTCACAGACTGAGATGGCTGGTAAGCAAGTGATCCCCTTGGCACCAGAGCCTACCAGCCCTTTAAGGGGTTTCAGATGCTGGGCGGCAAGGGTGGGGTTTCTGATCATGATTGGCTAGCACAGTTGTCACATGATTGGTAAACTCTCAATTGCAAGTAGAGATCAGGAACCTTCTGCTAGCCGCTGGTAACTGTGCTGGAAGCGCTCAGGGTGCGTGCTCTTGGCAAGCTCTGTTTATCTCTATGTATGCATATATGAGGCCTCTCGGCATTAAGGCCTACCAACCGAAAGGCCGCTTACATGCATATGGCTGGTGGGAAGGAGTTAATTTTGCCTACAGATATTCATTGGGCAAATGGAACTGCACACTCAGCAAAGGCTTATCATTTCCTAAGCTTACTGTAGGCCAATTTCTTGGAATAGATGGTGTTCCAACAAGGAAGAATGCTCTGCAGGATCTATTTTTTAACAAACAACACAGAGGTTATTACAGATGTACAAGTAATAGACAGCTTGAGTAACAGTGATCATGGTGTATTCATATTTGCCATAAGAAAGAGAAGCATGTTGGTATGACAAGTACTCTAAATTACAAAAAAGCTAACTTCAATAAGCTGTGATTCTTACTGCATGACACTCAATAGGACAAAATATATGCAACAAAGAGCACACAAAGTAAGTGAGAGTGGATTAAAGATGAATTAAACAAGTATATTAGTCATTGTATTCAATTAAGTAGCAAACATAAAAGAACAAAATTAAAACCTATGTGACTGAGTTTGCGTTAAAAGAAAACACATGAATGAGAACAAAACAGGCCTTTAAAAAGTACAAAGTATTTACAAGGAATGTAACAAGACATGCAAGGGGGCAATCAGGGTGGCTAAACAGTATATGAGAAATACATTGCTACAGCAGGTAAGACAACTTTGAAAAATGTTTTTATATACACTGCTCAAAAAAATTAAAGAAACACTTTTCAATCAGAGTATAGCATCAAGTCAATTAAACTCCTGGGATATTGATCTGGTCAGTTAAGCAGTTAAGGAAATTAACAACAGGTGCACTAGATGGGCAACAATGAGACGACCCCCAAAATAGGAATTTACAGGTGGAGGCCACTGACATTTTTTTCTCTACTCATCTTTTCTGACTGTTTTTCACTAGTTTTGCATTTGGCTATGGTCAGTGTCACCACTTGTAGCATGAGTCGATACCTGGACCCTACATAGGTTGCACAGGCAGTCCAACTCCTCCAGGATGGCACATCAATATGTGCCATTGCCAGAGGTTTGCTGTGTCTCCCAGCACAGTCTCAAGAGCATGGAGGAGATTCCAGGAGACAGGCAGGTGTTCTAGGAGAGCTGGACAGGACTGTAGA